AGAAAGACAAATCATTACAAAGTTTAAATTTAGACTAAAGAATTAGTTAGCTAGAAACGGTCCAGTAATTTATATTATCTGATTTGTTTAACCTAAAAAAAAAAAAAAAAATCAAGAACCGTGCAATGAATGAATCCATTGTTCTATTTTTCTAATTTGTTAACTTCACCTAATGGTAAAAAATTCATTTTATTACATCCCAAGCAAGTTGTAATTGGCTATATGAAATTCATTTTATTTCAGCGTTTTCATTTTCTCTTTGTAACAAATTCAATTAGGTGAAAAATGAATTGCCAAGTACATTCAAGGCGTACCGTTATCAGCAGCACAGATGGTCATGTGGACCTGCTAATCTTTTCAGGAAAATGGCTGTGGAAATTGCTGCAAACAAGGTGCATTAGAAACATATATAGCCCTTATTTTGAGCTGAAATTAACATGAAAATGTATGGAAAATTTTAACAAGTAATAGTTGATTTGATATTTGTTTTTTATCATTGCAGAAAGTCTCTTTGTGGAAGAAGTGTTATCTGATCTACAGCTTCTTCTTTGTTAGAAAAATCGTCGCGCATATTGTTACATTCATCTTTTATTGTGTTGTTATGCCTGCAACTGTTTTGATCCCTGAAGTTCAAGTTCCTATTTGGGGAGCTGTCTATATTCCCTCCACTATCACTCTCCTCAACGCCGTCGGCACGCCAAGGTAGAGAAAAAAAAATATTTTTTAATGTTAAGTCAATGACCAGAAGCTACGTACAAATTCTCATCGGATCTGACATGTCTTAACTTCTTTTCTTTTTGTTGGTGTGTAGATCGCTGCATTTATTGGTTTTTTGGATCCTATTTGAGAATGTAATGTCCCTTCATCGGACGAGAGCAACGTTCATCGGTCTGTTTGAGGTGGGAAGAGTCAACGAATGGGTCGTGACCGAGAAATTGGGAGATGCCCTGAAGACTAAAATGAGCTCAAAAGCTTCTAAGAAAGATCGTTTTCGAATTGGAGAAAGGTACAAGCTACATTTCATGGAGATTTTCGTCGGGTTGTACCTTTTGTTTTGTGGGTGGTACGATTACTCATTCGGAAAGAATAGATTCTACATATACCTCTTCCTCCAAAGCATGGCCTTCTTTGCGGCTGGATTTGGCTATATTGGAGTGTTTGTTCCAAATTCTTAGCTGATTTTTGAAAATATTTTTGGAGCAATGTTTGATTCAAGTACTAATCTTTATTTAAAATTTATGAATAATAGTTTGTAATTCTTTTACAATGTGAATAAGCAGCTAAGACATGTATGCTGCCTATCACTATTGTAGTTATTTATTTCATGTATTGGTCAAAAGAGTTGAGGTATAAGTAGTGAAATGGCAAAGGAGTCATGGGTTGCCCAAAACATATATTGTAAGCATCTTTAATTTGTACTTTTGTAGTATACATACTGGAATTTTTTTGGTAGTGCTATATGAAATGTCAAATGGAAAGAGAGTGTTAGTGGGCGTTTGGACATAATAATGGTAAAATTTATAGAAAAAAGTTTTAAAAAAAAACAAATAAAAATGGTAGTTAAAAATTAGAGTTTGTGTTTGGAAATTAATATAATTTTGGGTTGTTTTTAAATTTTTGTGAGTAATCTGAGTGAAAATTTTGAAAAACAACTTTTTGGATTTTTTTTGAAAAATTTCAAAATTCATCTTCAAGTGAAAATTGAAAATTTTATGGTCAAACACTGATTTCAAAAAAAGTGAAAAAAAATTCATGGCCAAACAACCTCTTAGTATCAAATGCCTGATTACGTTAGTTGCTCTCTCTGATCGAAAGCCTCGAAGCTACAGTAAAGTTATCTTTGTGTGACCTATAAGTCACAGGTTCGAGCCGTGGAATCAGCCACTACTGCTTACACTAGGGTAGGTTGTTTACATCATAACCCTTGAGTTGCAGGGAGATAAAAATGTGCGACCACGGGGAGATAAAAATGAGCGACTACTGCTTACATTAGGGTAGGTTGTTTATCAGGGGCAAAGTTATGTTGGCCCAAGGGTCGCCGAAAAATTATAATACGTATAAGGTAAAAATATTGTTTGTTATTGATTAAAAATAGACTTTGAACACCCTTGCACAGCCCAATGGCAAAGGGTGTTCAAATTTGAACACTTATTGAATTTTCTAGCTTCGCCACTGATTGTTACTGTTCCTTTTTTTTTTTTTTTTTTTTAACTCTCCTTTTCTTTTAAGAGAATCCAACAGTGTAATAGTTGCTCTTCTATTACATGTATATATGGTGAATGGAAATGAATCAAATAAAACATATAAAACGAGATGAAAGAGGAGAGGATCAATTCTTCTGAAGAATGGATCCCCATTTTCATTTTGAGAATTTGGTGAATATGCAAAACAAGTTCTGCAGTTGATTGAAGAAAAAAAAAGATAAGTATGACCGACCACGGTGGGAGTCGAACCCACGACCTTTTGATCCGAAGTCAAACGCGCTAATCCACTGCGCTACGCGGTCCTATTGACAACGAATAAACCTAAGATATAATATTACTACTTCATAACAAACGACAAAACTAAGAGACTTACGAAGATGAAATAGGCGTTTGGACATAAAAATTGCATTTTTTGAAAAAGAACAGTATATGGAGTTTGAAAAATGGTATTTGAAATTTGGATATGCATTTCACTTGAAAAAATATTGCAAATTTGTGAGTGAGAGAAAAAAATTAAAAAATTTCAAAATATTATAAAATTTCATGAACAAATATATTTTTTTTAAAAAGGAAAAAAAAAAATTATGGACAAACCGGCCGAAATGTGAAGCTTCATCTGTATTAAAAAATGCAGATCTGGTTAATTCAATGAGTTTCTAGTCTTCCATGTTCTCATTAATGTAGCACCTAAGGATTCATCATGCTATAATTGTGTTGCCTGTTAATCTACTACTTCATCTTTCCCAATTTATTTAATACAGTTTGGATTTTGAGAGTCAAATAACTTTTTATTTGATTATAATTTTTTCATATTATTTAAATATATTAAATTGTTAATTATTAAGACTTATAGTATTTTTTATGTAGTTTTTAAATATATAAATTTTATTTCAAAAAATTTAAAGATGTTCATCGAATTTGTAGTCAAAATTCAAAAATCTAACTTTAGAAATTCGAACTTATCAAACAACTTGGGACTAAGGAAATACTATATTCGTTCTCTATTATTCCTGTTTAGTGGAATGCTCTATGGGAGACTTAGAGCCTGTTTGGCCCACCTTTGGGAGGCAAAAAGTACTTTTTTTCCCCAAAAAAGTATTTTTTTAAAAATTTAAGTTGTTTGGCCAAGACAGAGAAGTACTTTTGGCCAACAGAGAAGCAGTTTTTCTGCTTTTGGGAAGAACCAGAAAATTCTAGCTTCTTCCAAAAAGCATAAGCAGAAGCAGAAAATTAATTTATTCAAGACAAAACTATCCTCACTATAAATATATATTGTCTAAATTATCCCTTATTGCATTTTTGTTTCTTGGGTTTAAAATTCTTTTAAATTTAAAGATATTATATACATGAATCATATTGTAACTTTCCAAATTTTTTATCGAATTTTCTTGTTTTTGATTTTTTCTTTGTGTAATATCTTGTAACTTTCCAAATTATCTTCTTCTTTTTCCACACTAAATCAAATTATCAATATCCTTCTTTGGATTATCAATTCTCTTCTTATAAATAATCATTTATAGTTTCTTCTCTTATAAGCTATTAATTCCCGAATCTTTAAAACAATTATCAAATCTAATTTGTGAAAATTACCTACAAATAAGTAATAAATTTATAATTGCATCGAATAATCTATATATTATCAAAAGAAAAAGAAAAAGTCTCCACATTAGGCCAAGTGACAGCCTCACAATAGGTCACTTGGTAATTCAGGACAAAGTTAGTCAGGTTAGGTAATAATTAGTTTCTTTTTGAATTTAAATTTTCAAAAAAATTAAAGTATGCATTATGCGTTGTTAATAATTAGTTACTCTTTTTGAATTTGAATTTAAAAATTATTTCTATTTTACGCTCAATCCATCTTTCAAGTTTGCCACTTAGAATCATCTTGTTACAACTATCATGGCTATAAAAAATTTTTTTATCCGACGACATTCTTCTACCGATAAGGAATTCAACTATTATGCTAATAAAGACAATACTGCAGATATTGAGGAAGGAGATGGGCCTTCTGGTATTCCTTTAGAAATGTAAGGCACGTCTTCTACTAATATGGAAGCGTTGTGTGAATGAATAAGAGATGAAATTCTTGAGAAATGTTATCATGTGTGAGTGACTTTGCTTATTATTCATGGTGGATTATCAATATATAGTAATTTGTGGAATTAGACTTCTAATTCATACTAAATGACGTATTTTTATTATAAAAATCATCATATAAACAATAAGTAATTATACTAGATAATATTATATGCTTTGGTATAACTGTATATGTATATTGATTTAAATCTTTAATATGTATGTTTATTTTATGTTTTATATTTTAATTAAATAAAATAAAAAATAATAAAAGTCTCTTACGATAAATATTTAAGTTCATTTTTCTCTTTAAAATAATTACAAAACCTTGGTATTATCCTTTTTGGTAATTTGGCGCTCAAAAGTATTTTTTTTTTAGAAAGATCGGCCAAACATAATTTGTTTACCAAATGTTGCAATAAGTACTTCTTAAATGAATGAGCCAAACACAAACTGTTCTTTTATCTTTTTTCAAAAGTACTTTTGGATAAAGCGCTTCTGAAAAAAAAGTATTTTTAAAATAAGCAGTTTTTGGCGGCTTGGCCAAACGGGCTCTGACATAAGCAGAAACATAAGAACATTCAGGCCTCATTTGTTTTCACTTAATGGAGGTCCGAATCTTAATTATTCAGATCTTGATCATTAAGTGTGTTTGTATTTTTTTACTTTACAACCACTTAATGGGTCTGTATAAGTCTGTATGATTAAGATCTATAACAGAGACTTAATATCATTAAGATGCTGTCATCCACTTTCATTATTGACTGCCGCCACCGCCAACCATTATCATCTACCATCATGCCACCGGCCACCACCATACACAACCACTACCACCACCACCATCATCATCCTCAATTGTAGCCGCCATTATCGACTACTACCACCCACCATCTCCACCACTCCCGCCACCATCATTGTAACACTCCTCAAATTTATAAAAGTTTCGAAACACGCTAAGTATTGAACTAAATTATTACTATTTTTTTTATTATTGTGTTTATCTCGCATATATATATATATATTACTATATTATTAATATATATATATATATATATATATATATATATATATATAAAATTGGATATACAATTAGAAAAAATATTAATAGTTTTAATATTGTTATTATTAAAAGTGGGTATCATTAAATACTAGTTAAGTCAAAAAAAAAAAAGGAAAACAAATAAATTGTGAAAAAAACAACGTGAGCCTTAAGCCCATAAAGGGCTCTTGGCAGTAAAGGCGTGAAAGCCTTAGCCAAAAGACAAGGGCTGTGAAAAAGGTTTAAACAAAAAGGAGATTCTCAAAACAGAACACTTCACGTTCTGTTTCTAACGCAGAGGCAGCCACGAAATTGCACCCAAAGTTCTAGGGTTCTTTACCAATCACTAATTCTTGAACTCAGGTAAGTAATTTTCCCTATTGTCAATTATCCTATAGTGGTAATAGGTAAGAATGGAATAGTTAATTCCCTTCTTCCTCCATATCAATAATAAATTTTATATGTAGGTGTAGTACTTTAAAATTAATTAAAATGCACTGGTTGTTGTAGAATCATTGTTTGATGGGTATAAATTGGACTGGAGTCTACGTATTGGCTCGAGAAGTTTGAGGTGAGTTGATATAACCCTTTACTAAAGTGGTTTAACTCACAAAAGCACGCATACAAGGTGTTTGATGAATCACTTAAAAGAGTTTATCTTTATTTAATTAGAGCGAGTGAGTACCCATTAACTTAGAATTGTTCTAGCAAAAGTTTAGATGACCTATTATGATATATGTGCTTAAATTTTCAGATTTTTGTGTTATTCTTATATGCTATTTTCATGTTGAAAATTTATGAAAGAAGAAAGAATCTTTTGAAATATTTTTATATGTTTATTTCATTCTTATTTTCAGATTTTTGTGTATTTCTTATATGCTATTTTCATGTTGAAAATTTATGAAGAAGAAAGAATCTTTAGTAATATTTTTATATGTTTATTTCGTTCTTATGCCATGCTTTACATTTAAGTACACCAATATGAGCATGTACATGATGTTTTATAAAGAAAAGATTTAGACTTGAAAGGTCACAAGAAGAAGTTTTAGAAAGAAAAGATTTTTGTGAGTATCCTTTATTCTGAGAAGGGGTCATCGTCCAGGCCGAGGGTCCTGACCAAGGCTTTGACTT